CAGACTTAGACTTATTGCTTAGTTCACGATGGATTTTAATTCATTTTTTAAGTGTGAGGGGACTTCAGGAAGTTTGTGAAAAATGGAATGAAAAGATAAGTTTATTTTTTAGTGCAAAAAATTTTGAAACCCATACAGAATTTTTCATGACACATATTTACCATGAATGTTTTGAGGATTCCTTGTAGTTCTGTGGAAGAAATATTCTAGAAAAACATTCTGTAACATGTGCCTGTGATATTACTTTGTGCCAAATAAGAAAGACTATCATAGCCAAATAAATTTAGCAAATGCTGGGCTAGATGATGTTAAATAAATTTGTTTTCTGCAGGACTTGTTGAAGCCTTTATTATTATTTTTAAAAGATTTATTTATTTATTTGAAAGTTGGTGTTAGAGATCTTCCAGTTGCTGGTTCTCTTCCCAAATGACCACAATGGCCAGAGCTGAGCCAATCTAAAGCCAGGAGCTCCGTCCGGGTATCCCACATGGGTGCAGGGGTCCAGGGACTTGGACCATCCTCCTCTGCTTTCCCAGGTGCATTAGTAGAGAGCTGGATCAGACGTGGAACAGCGGGGACTAGAACTGGTGCCCACATGGGATGCTGGCACCACAGCAGTTTTACCCCCTATGCCACAGCACCAGCCTCATGGGGACCTTTAATAAGAAAATATTAATAGTAAACTTCAAAGAATAAAGTGTAATATCTACCATTTTCCAAACCTGTTAGAATACAGATCGCTTCATTATTTCTTTTTTATTCAGGAGCATATTGTAAAGTAATACAAGGCAGATATTAAGTATTTTTAAAGCACCAACCATGTGCAATACTTGATGGATCAATAAAAAAAGTTTTAGTTGTATTTTTTGCAATGAAGACATAATTGATTTCCTGCATGATGAAATAAGACATAAATGCATTAGGCATCAACTATTTGTATAAGAAAATGCAGAAAATATTAGAAAATAGAAAATGGTTGTCAAATAGGTGATGTTAAAAATTTTTTGAGCACAGAGATAGGAGAAACAAACTAAAAGAACACAATTTTTCATACACTCACATGCAAGACACCAGAGATAGAAAACACACACCATGCATTGGCTGTATTAAAGTAACTAACTTCTCTGGAGAGCAAGGACTCTCTGACACAAGTTAGTGCAGCCCAGAACATTATACAGCAGCTCTTCTTCTTCTTTTAAGATTTATTTTATTTATTTGAAAGATTCAGAGAGAAGGAGAGACAAAGAGAGATCCATCTTCTATCCACTGGTTCACTCTCCAAATGGAATTGGGCAGATCCTAGGCTGGGGACCAGGAGTTTCTTCCAGGTCTCCCATGTGGGTATGGGGGTCCAAGCACTTGGGCCATCTTCTGCTGCTCTCTCAGGATGTTAGCAGGGAGCTGGATTTGAAGTGGAGCAGCTGTGACTCCAACCAGCACCCCTATGGGGTGCTGACACTGCAGGCCGCAGCTTGACTTGCTATGCCACCACACAACCCATAGATCAACACTTGTTAAACTTGAAGTGCACATCAGTTGCTTAGGGATCTGAACTGACTGCATAGATTTGAGGTGAAGGCCATGATTCTGCATGTCTCACAAGCTCCCAGGTGAATGCTAAGGCTGTTGATGCAAGGATCATGCTTTGAGGCGGGAAAGCAGGAGTTGGCAAACATTTTATAAAAGGTACAGAGAGTAAATATGTTAAGCTTTGAGGGCTATCCAGTTATGTGGCAACTACTACTCAGCTCTGTCACTGAAATGCAGTGAAGTGGCCAGTGTTGTGGTGTAGCAGGGAAAGCCATAACTGGCAACACAGTCATCTCATGTGGGCGCTAGTCTGTGTCCTGGCTGCTCTGTTTCCTATCTAGCTTCCTGCTAATATGCCTAGGAAAGCAGCAGAAGATGGCCCAAGTACTAGGGCCTCTGAACCCACATGGGAGAGCTGGAAGAAGGTCCTGGCTCTTGGCTTCATCATGGCACAGCCCTGACCTTTGTGGCCCTCTGGGTAGTGAAGAAGTGGATGGAAGATCTCGCTCTGTCTCTCAACTCAGCCTTTCAAATAAATAAATCTTAAAAAAAAAAAAAGCAATAGAGCCATGGACCATGTATAAAGGAATGAACAAGATTGTATTCCAGAAAATCTTTATTGACTCTAAAATCTGTATAACTTTCTATGTCACAAAATGTTCTTTGAATTTTTCTCCAAATATTTAAAAGCATAAAAACAATTATTCACTCATAATCATGTAAAAACAGGCTGTCTGTAGGCTTGCAGGCTCTTAGTTTGCTGAGTTAGAAAAGACCCTATACTCAGGCAGTTGCCAAAGGTTTCCCGATGAAATACATCTAATGTAAGAAATGAGTCTTCCCTTTCTTATACTCCCATTGAAGTTTTGCCATGCTTATTTTTCCACTAACGTGCATTTGTTTCTTTTTATGGAAAGTAAAAAAAACTCTGGTTGACAGAACAAACTCAACTAGTTTCAGAGTTTATCAGGCGTTGTTCTTTGCATATCACCTGTCGTGTGCATGTTGTATGACACTTTGCATATAGATGGCCTTCAGCAAATGTGTATTCAGTTAAATTTCATGTGATGGCAAAGCCTTGCACTTGGCTTTAAGGAAGAGTGGTTCCTAGATGGGATTAATGGAGAAGGTCAGAGAGAATTCTAAGGAGGAAAATGCATGGGCAAAGAAAAATTGGCAAGTGATAATTGAGAGCTTGTAGGGAGTAGTAAGTCCAGGCAAATATTTCACAGAAGTGGAAAATTAGTATAGGAAGATGACAGAAAATAAAGTCAGGGCCAAGTTACATGAAAGGCCTCAGTGACAGATTTGAAGATTAGGGAATGATGTATGAAGGGGAACATTTTAAGAGTATTAATTGGATGACAAAATACAGGAAGAATTTAGAGCTTGTAGACGGAGAAATCGGTTAAAGCTGCAAAGCTGCTTTTTAGTTTACTGAATGAGAGAAGTTAGAGCAGGATCTGGACTGTAGGTGTGGAAAGAGAACAGGAAAAAGGAATTGGAAGGTGGCTCTGGACTGGAAGGTTCTCTAAGCCTTTCTGAGAACAAGAAGAACCACAAAGTACCCCAGAATCGAGAAACACTGTCCCTCTCAATTGCCCCCGACAGGAGATGGGTTGAATGCTCAGTTGGCTGGGGATTTTATGTGCTTTAATCCTCAAACTTATGTCTGTTCTTTTGTGAATATGTTATGTTTAATTTTTAGTATGAAAAAAAAATTTTCAGTATGATTTCTAGGGTTAATATTCTAAGTATTAGCAAGCTCATTTGCTTCATTACATTTCTTTTTTTAAGAAGACTCTTATGTTTGAAAGGCAGAGTTACAGATAGGGAAAGGTGAGGGGGTGAGCGAGAGAGAGAGAGAGAGAGAGAGAGAGATATCCTCCATCTGCTGATTCAGTCCCCAAATGGCCACAACAGCAAAGCCTGGAACTCCATCTGAGTCTCCCACATGGTTGCAGAGATCCAAGTACTAGGACATCTGCTGCTGCTCTCCCAGGTGCATTAGCAGAAAGCTGGATTGGAAGAGGAGCAGCAAGGACTTGAACCAGCACTCATAGGGGATACTGGCGCCTCAGCTTAACCTGATGCACCAAAATGCTGGTCCCTAAATTTATTTTCAAATTAAATATAGACACATGGGGCTGATGCTGTGGCGTGGCTGGTAAAGACACCGCCTGCAGTGCCAGCATGCCATATGGGCTCTGGTTGCTGGCTGCTCCTCTTCCATTCCAGCTCTCTGCTATGGCCTGGGAAAGCAGTAGAAGATGACCTAAGTGCCTGGGCTCCTGCACCTGTGTAGGAGACCTGGAAGAGGCTCCTGGCTCCTGGCTTCAGATTGGCTCAGTTCCTGCCATTGCAGCCATTTGGGGAGAGAACCAGCAGATGGAAGACTTTCTCTCTCTCTCTCCCTCCCTCCCTCCCTCCCTTTGCCTCTCAAAAAATAAATGTTTTACAAAATATAGAGAGATACATATCTATATTCTACTCTAAATATAGACAAAAATTAGTCTCAGTGTCATATTTTCATGAAAGGATGCCAGTCAGTTCCAAAGAATTGTATTGTAGCTTAGATTCAGAGAAAATCTCTTAAGTGCTAATTATGAGCTGAATAGACTGTCCCAGAGACTTTATCCTTTGAGCTACAAGTGGCTCATTCCTTCCTATCTCTTTAAAAATAAATTGAGTTTAGGGACTTTTTAGGGCTTTTGTCTTGTTTTGTAAAATATCAAGGCAGCCACGTGCTGTTGAGAGTCTGATGTACTGGGGAAAGAACATGATGACTCTGAGAGGGAGCCCTTGTGAAGACGGGGATCCCCACGCCCACGTGCCCCGTCCCGCGTTGGAGTGCCTGCAGTGGATGCTCAGCCCCAGCTCCTGACCCCAGCTTCCTGCGAAGGCAGACCCCGGGGGGCAGTGGTGATGGCTTCGGACTTGGGTTCCAGTCACCCCCATGGGAGACCTGGGTTGAGCAGTTGGCTTTTAGCTTTGTCCCAGCCCAGTATCCTCCACTGAGGGCATCTGAGGAGCTAATCTGCAGATGAGCGATAGTGTGCGCTGTGTGCTCGCTCGCTCGCTGTCCCTCCCTCTTTCTAAAACAGAACAACAAAAACCACCATTAAATGATAATAAACATAGGCATTTATTATAAAATTTTGTGGGACACTTTAAATTTCTGTTCCTTTTAATTTTGTCACTGAAATGATCTCTCCAAACTTGATGATGGATGGTCTCCCTTATTTCAAGGTTGATAAAATGTGTATGATGGTTTACAATAAAAACCTTTAGGGATTGTCTGGTGTAAATTGTAGAGTTTCCATCCGTAACATTGACATGGACCTTTTTTATTTTTTAATGCAAGAACGTCTTACTGCATAGCATCCAGGCTTCCTGGCCTCTGGTACTGTTTCGAGCCTTACCATTGCTTTTCTTTCACTCCTGTCCTGTGACCTCCGTGTGGCCTGCAGATGGTTCTGTGAGGATAAGGAGCTGCACAACAGTCCTGATATTCAGATCCACTGTGAGGGCGGGGACCTCCACACGCTCATCATCGCGGAGGCCTTCGAGGACGACACAGGTCGCTACACCTGCCTGGCTACGAACCCCAGTGGCTCCGACACAACATCCGCGGAGGTGTTCATCGAAGGTAAGGGACGGCGCAGGGTACAGTCCAGCCTGCGGTCAGAGGGCACCCTCGTGAACATGCTTCCAGTGCAAACACCGTGATGGTGTTATCCTTCCAACCTCATTTCTCCTGAAAGTCTTTATAAATAAACCGGACAGTTCTGACACTTAGGCACACATCAACCATGTGTAATGTCAACACTTGGTCCTTTGTGTTTAAAGTGTTTCAGCTACATTAACTTGAATTTATTTAAAATACAAAGTATCCAACTTACTTTTTTCTTTCTCAAGTAAAGTATGGGAACCACTCGTGATTGAAATACCTTATCAATCAAAGTTAAACTATAAATGATTTAGAAAATCATGCATGGACATTTTAAACAGTTGACTTTTTAAAGATTTATTTATTATGTATTTGAAGGGCAGTTACAGAGAGAGATCTTCCATCTGCTGGTTCACTCCCCAGATGGCCACAAAGGCTGGAGCACAAGCTGAAGCCGGAAGCATTGAACTCCTCCCACAAGGGTGCTAAGAGCCCAAGTACTTGGGCCATCTTCTGCTGATTACCCAGGTTCTTTGGAAGGGAGCTTTGTAGGAAGCGGAACAGCCAGGATTTATCTAGTGCTCCTATCTGGGATGCTGGTGTCCCAGGCAGTGGCTTAACCTGTTGTACCACAATGTCGGCTCCTCTTTGATACTTTTAAATGTTGTCATTTTTATGAAATTCTGGAATTTTGCCTGTTTTGTTTAGACTTCATTATTCCTATTAAATATACCATAAACTTGTGATCACTAGATAAGGATAATTTCATGAATCAATGTTCTATTAAAGAGAAGTGGGCAGCAAATAGAATATTTATATTATTCTATTAATTCATTTCCCAAGGAATTGAAAAACTTGATATCAAAGTACCACAGTTTACATTATTACTGTATTTTGATCAATTCTGACAATTAAAGTAATTGGAAGCTTTTTAAGCACCCCAGTGTTTGTTCTATCCCTGAATTTATACCTCGGTGAGTACTCTGTTAATTAGTTCCTTTTTGAAATAGTAGTTAAAATATAGAATGAAGATTGAAGTCCTTGAGGTCCCCACTAACTCTTTTTTTTCATTAGCTTTTTTTAAAAAGGTTTAATAACTCCAAATTTCTTCATTATTTAAAGTAGAAGAAAGCAAAATGTGAACCATCATTTATAGCTCCTTAATATCTGACAAAAGTAGCCTTAAAAGTACTTTTTGGGTCTGAAGTTTAGATACAATGGGTAGAGCTGTGGCTTTCCAAGCTGGCACCCATATCAGAGTGCTTTTTGGAGTCTTGGCTGCTCTGCTTCAGATCCAGCTTCCTGTAAACGAGCCTGGGAAGGCAAAGGAAGATGTTCCAGGTACTTGGGCCCCTGCTGCCCATGTGGGAGACCAGGATGGGGTTCTTGTCTCCTGGCTTGGGCCTGGCATAGACCTGGCTGTTTGGACCATTTGAGGAGTGAACTAATGAATGGAAGGTGTTTATCTCTCTTTCTCTGCCTTTCAAATAAATATATGCATTCATTTTTTTAACTTTTATTTAATAAATATAAATTTCCAAAGTACAGCTCTTGGATTACAGTGGCTTTTTCCCCCCATAACTTCCCTCCCACCTGCAACCCTCCCATCTCTTGCTCCCTCTCCCATTCCATTCACATCAAGATTCATTTTCAATTATCTTTATATACAGAAGATCAATCTAGTATATATTAAGTAAAGATTTCAACAGTTTGCACCCACACAGAAACACAAAGTGTAAAGTACTGTTTGAGTACTAGTTAGAGCGTTAATTCACATTGTACAACACATTAAGGACAGAGATCCTAAATGGGGAGTAAGTGCGCAGTGACTCCTGTTGTTGATTTAACAACTGACACTCTTGTTTATGGCCTCAGTAATCACCCTAGGCTCTAGTCATGAGTTGCCAAGGCTATGGAAGCCTTTTGAGTTTGCCAACTCCGATCTATAAATACATAGTTTTTTTTTTTTTTAAAGTAACTATTATTACTACCTAGAAGTATATACCTTTATGTTTTTTTTAAGATTTATTTTATTATTTGAAAGAGTTACAGAGAGAGGTAGAGACAGAGAGAAAGGTCTTCCATCTGCTGGTACTCCCCAGTTGGCCGCAACGGCCGGAGCTGTGCCAATCTGAAGCCAGGAACCAGGAGTCTCTTCCGGGTCTCCCACGTGGGTGCAGGAGCCCAAGCACTTGGGCCATCTTCTACTGCTTTCCCAGGCCATAGCAGAGAGCTGGATCGGAAGAGGCAGCCAGGACTAGAACCGGCGCCCATATGGGATGCTGGCACTTCAGGACAGGGCTTTAACCCACTGCACCACAGAACTGGCTCCTATACCTTTATGTTTAATAAAAAACTTTCACATTTTCTTTGGAAGCAAATGTCTTTGAGGTCCTAAAGGGATTCTATCTTGCTAATAAAAGCAATTATTTTTACATATAGTAATAACTAAAACATACATGGCATTTATGAAAAGCACACACATAAAATATATCATAATTTAAACTTCATTGTGGGGCCAGCGCTGTGGCGCAGTGGGTTAACACCCTGGCCTGAAGCGCTGGAATCCCTTATGGGTGCTGGTTTGAGACCCGGCTGCTCCACTTTCGATCCAGCTCTCTGCTGTGGCCTGGGAAAGCAGTGGAAGATGGCCCAAGTCCTTCGGCCCCTGCACTCATGTGGGAGACCTGGAAGAAGCTCCTGGCTCCTGGCTTCAGATTGGTGCAGCTCCAGACATGCGGCCAATTAGGGAGTGATTGGATGGAAGACCTGTCTCTCTGTCTCTTTCTCTGCCTCTCATCTCTGTGTAACTCTGACTTTCAAATAAATAAATATTTTTTTAAAAAGTCAGAGTTACACAGAGAGAGAAGGAGAGGCAGAGAGTGAGAGAGAAGTCTTCCATCCACTGGTTCACTCCTCAATTGGCCGCAATGTCTAGAGCTGGGCCAATCGGAAGCCAGGAGCCAGGAGCTTCTTCTGGCTCTCCCACATGGGTGCAGGGACCCAAGAACTTGGGCCATCTACCACTGTTTTTCCACGCCATAGCTGAGAGCTGGATCAGAAGTGGAGCAGCCAGGACTCAAACCGGCACCTATGTGGGATGACAGCATTTCAGGCCAGGGCTTTACCCGCTACGCCACAGTGCCAGCCCCGAAACTTAAACTTTGATTAAAATTCTGTTTGCCAATGATGATCAGATTTGTCTCCAAATCCAACTTCAGATGGAGCACCATAAGATGAAATCCTTTATTTGCTTATAGAATTGCTAGAAACATGGTGGACTTCTGAGTGTGGTGTTTCTGTACTACAAATGTTAAGTGACATCAACTTCACATTGAAGTACAGCCTTTCAACTTCATCCCAGCAGCATTCATTTAGGCCATAGTCAGTGCCAGGCAGTGCAGATACAAATATGGATAAGTCAGAGCCCCTGATATTAAGGATTTCCCAATCTAACAGCAGAGATGGATATAATAGAATATAAAATGTTAAGTAATGTTGTAGTAAATAGTATAAGCAAATTAGAAAGTATTACAGCATTCAATGAACTTGAAAAGTCAACTGTAAGGTATATTGAATTTTCACACAATGAATAAAGATACTTCCCTACCTCTGAAACCAGTTTCAGTGTCTAGCCCTGGTCGACACAAAACCCTGTCTCTCATTTCATGACATTAACTGTGGTTCTTCTCTGTAGAAGCCTCTGAGCTGCCAGTGCTTTTCTGCCTTTGAAAGAATGTGGATGAGCTACTTAACATGGGGAAGGTACTCCCCTGCTCTGTACACCATACATAGTTCACTCTGAGGACTTGAGCAGACATAGTGGCATTTTCCCAGTGCAGAGTTTCTACAACAGACATTGAACCTAGACAGTCAACCAGCTGCTGGGTATCTGTGACATGAGATAAATGGAAAGGATGATAAGGGAGCTGGACATAGCAAGAATAAAGAGCCATTAAGGTTCAGTCTTATAAATCTTATAAACCCAACATGAAGTGCTTTAGCAAACCAGCTTCTCGGCCTTATGAAATATGAATAATTTTTTAAAATGGGAAATTTTAATGTGTTTGTATCCCTGAGAACAATTAGGTAAAATGGGAGAAAACCTCAGAAAAATTCTTTCACTCGTGTTACGCCTGAAAGTGAGCAATAGTTTATATTTTACTTATTTGGGTGCTGGATCAGACTCTGGCATATCCCTGTTGACTGGCTTCCTGAATCACCTCAGCATCCAGTCCCTGGGCATCTCTCTGAAGATAGGAAGTTTGCTATAGAGTTTGAAAACTCCAGAGAAACCTGTTCGAAAAGTTTAACGCTGCTAGTTGCAAAGTGTCTAAATTCTGTCTATGCATAAAGTTGTAGAGCGCTACCAAAAGAAATTATAGGTGAAGAAGAGTAGCCTGATTCAGGCTTCCCCAGGAGCCGAGCACGTTGCGTCCTTCATTTTCCCGTGAATCATCTCGCCTGATCTTACAAAGATCACCTCTCTCTACACTTGAGAACATTGACGTTGCGAGAGGCCAGTTCATGCCCAGGATCACATATGTGCACACATGATAAACACAAACACACTGGGAGTGCAGGATTCAAACCCTGGCCGTCTGACTCCTGGATCTGCTCTCTTGATAGCTACAGAGTAAAATGCAATTGAATTCATCATCTTTGGGGGCAGCCATGACCCTCACTTTACTCTCGTAACCAGACTTAGGATCTGAGCATGGAATCCTTCAGGGCACAGAACTGAGTGCCTTTTGGTCATTCTCCGTCTGTATTGGGTGACCGCTGTAAGGCCGGCAGTGGTTCAGACACTAGGGACAGCCTCTCCTGCCAGTCAACTCTAAGCTGACTCCAGAAAAGAGGAGAGTAAACCAGTGAACCTGCTGTCAGTTCTAGACACTGGCAACTACTTTGAAAGCAAGTCTGAGCAGAGACTGTGGTGGGAGGGAGGGAGTGCAAAGGCCCTGGGGCAAGGCCAGATG